TACACCTGTTTTGCGAAATAATTGTAAAGTCGGGTTAGATTGCTACAAGTTATTGAAGGGGGTATTTAAAACATGGACACATAAAATGAGTAGACCACTGTTTCTGGGAAAACTTTTTATTCGACAACAAAGAATGAGAATACGTGTTTTTTCGAATTCAATCGAAATTATTGGCAGAAACGTAAAAACTCTTCATATAAGATTCTTAGGTATTTATGAGACCTACAAAATGAGAACAGACGTAAACAGATCGGACTAATGGCAAAAAAGTCGAAAACCGAGGCAAACTTCGCTTTTGGTACTTGTTGGTCATGCAACGATGTAGATTGGACAAGTAGTTTTTGAGAATCTTTTTTTTTTCTAATTGCTTATCCCAAAACACCTGTTTTCCGGCCATCACTACTACCTTATTGGTCAATATACAGGGTTAGTTCAAAGGGCAGCTTATAGCTAAATACACTAGTACCTTACCGATGTGAATTGCAAACCATTCCGGAAGATAAATGTTGTTTTTATGCAAAAAAGGATGGGTTACGTTTTTTCTTCTAAACAAATTTAAACATTTCGTATTTGTGAGTAATTGTTTGATTTTGTTTGAATTTGTTTAGGAGAAAAAAACGTAACCTTTGTTTTTCGCATAAAAATAAAATTTATATTTAGGAATGGTTTGTGATTCATATCGGCAAGGTAAACACGTGTATTTTGCTATTAAATGATCTTTGAACGAACCCTGTATATTGTTCAATGAACTAGTAGTGATGGCCGAAAAACAGGTGTTTTGCGATAAACAGTTAGACATTCTCAAAAAACTACTTCAACAAGTAGTTTTTTGTTGTTGTTATTTGGAAGTATGAATGCTACGGATTTGAAGAATTTCAAGTAGTTGCGTGGAATTATCGACGCATTACCAACAAGTGCCAAAACCTGCATTTGGCCTCTTTTTCGGCCATAACATTTTTGCTATCAGTGGGATCTTTTTACGTGTGGCCACATTTTGTAGGTTCCTGTCAACACTTTCAATTGAATCCCAAGAACACGTTTTCTCATTCTTTGTTGTCAAATAAAAAGTTTTTCTACAAAAATTGGTGTACCAATTTTATGCGTCCATGTTTTAAATACCCCCTTGTACCACTTTCACCAATAAAAGCAGACTTTACAATTACCATATTTCGGGAAAATTTACTAATATGATTAGACTAATTGAATATGTTAATGGATTGTTTCTTGATTTGGTTGCACGGTACAGAGTCTGGAAAGCTCCATTGTTCAATGGCTCCTGAGCTAAATTCCATAGTGTACTTATTCTACACCAGGTTGATCTAGAAAAATGAAAGGTTACTCCGCCTATGGTGGTGGATGGTGCCGCGCTCACATCTGGCACACTAAATGGGGGATTAAGGCTATAATTCCGCACTAAACTAGTTAATTGATAGTCGTTAATGGCGAGGCGTAATATAAACTACCTCATTTCACCTACATCTTATTTTACTACCAATAGTAAGTCCGTAAGTAGTGTCGAATGTAATGTTTAAACTTTAAATTGAGATAATGGAGTAGCATTTGAATTGAGGTGGTCAAGTGAGCTTTTATTTCAAATGGTTGACGCAAGGAATGAGGCTCCAATGGCGACTTGCCAATGGAACAGCCAAGTTAACTTAAAACGGATTGAGTTCTAGAAAGGAATAGAAACTAAAGAAAGCCTATGGCTGTTTGAATAATGTCAACCTTTTTATAACTCAATCTAAGTCTTAATCTTCAAAACATCGATTGGCTTTTACCTTGGAAGATATAACTACTTATTCATTGCATAAACAGAGTCCTTAATCCCTTATCTCCTTCGTGTAATTTTCATTTTTGTGTGTTTCACTTCTAAGGTCTATCCAGATTGGTTGAGTGTACTTCAAGGAAATATGCAATCGGTATCGTTTAGACAGTCTTAGCAAGTTTTTCTCCAGGCTCTTCTTTTGATCTGTTATTGAGTCGCAAATGTTTCAAGGCTCCTTTTCTTCTTCGCCAGGTGTCTAATATTTTGTACCGGTCAGATAGGAATCTTTCAACCCTAGACGACTAATTCTCATAAATCGTTCTCCCGTATGCTGAGGTACTAAGTAGATAAGCCATACTAGTCGAAAATTGCCTAACAATGAACCGTTGTATTGCGACAACACTTCTGGATATGTCTTTACGTTTTCTGGTGGTTTCGGGACGATGGACGAGAGTGACATATCTGGTACATTGAGAAACGACAGATAGCCTCATACTCGTTTGTCGTTTTGAAAGGCTGGACGTTCTTCATTGTATGCAGCATGTAACGGGACCTTCAGACTACTGTAGTAACACCTGTATAAAAATGTGATAATAAAAAATGAACTGTCACCCGGAGGAATGAAAACAAATACGTCATTGTACTGAAGAATATGACAAGATCACCTTTGTGATTTGAAAAGATCTGTCAATACATGTGATTTTATTGGTAAGACAAGCATGGGGGATTATAGACCATACTTTTTCACCTAACTTGTTATGGATACAAAACTAACTAGCGGGTGTAATGTACAAAATTGATCACCGCCAACACAACGCTTCGGATCTGTTGCAGCTAGCAGGGGCGTATTATTTAAGAAACGTCTTATTTTTCAAATGCCGGCATTGACTGCAGCCACTCCTATGCAAGTGCAGGGCAGGGCAGCCTCTGCATCTCACATCTCACCGCACTAACGCCGTATATCATATTACGGCCTAACCCAGCAATGACACCACTACATATGTAGACTACTTCAACTGTAACGTCGTAAATAATATTCCTATGACCCTAGTGGGTAGAACAATGTATTGCGTTTTGTAGTGCGTGTACAGCTTGCCAGACGCCGCAGTGGATTTGATTAAGTAATGGAAGACTAAGTGTATGAATACGGGGTGTGATACCGGAGAGGAATCAACGAGGACGAAGAAGCCATTCACCGAGACCGCCGAGCTATGTCAACCACGGTCAAGTGCAATGAGTTTATTTTCAAGTAGCTTCGAGTTACATAACTGAATATTTATTTCATATTTATTAATTTATAGGATACCAGCAATAATATTTGTATTTATGCATATATTTTTTCTGGTTAGCATTAACCCTAGTGCCGTTTCTATCGAATTCGGTGCATCTGACCAGAATATAGTAAGAGAGGGTTTTTAGTTAGAAATGATCAAGTCAACTAGAAGAAATATTCACTTTGACAAATATAAGATATTTTTCCTCCAGAATTAAATATGTATGTCATTGCCGCCATTCGAACTTTTCTCCGTAGCCTGGAGTAACAAATTTATAATGGACATTTCATGGTACTTCTCCCATATTTTATACAAAGTTGATAGACTGTTGTCATATACTGGGACATTTTCTACGTATTCGATATCAGGATTTGTTCGGTTGTTTGCAAATGAAGGGTACAGGTCCATAAGGAGCTAAGTCGCCAAATGTTTATTTCGTACAAAACAGAGTTTAACTTTTAAAACTAGTAATTGATAAATTCTTGATGGTTATTATGAATTCTGTTAATTAGATTAGTTATTTGGGTAATTATTGAGACACACACAAGAAATTAAACTTATATTGTCATTTATACAAAGTAGAACATAAGCATTAATTGGTCAAACCATCAAACATTGTTGGCCTAAAGGGGCCAAGTCCAAAAAAAACAAGGTATACCGAAAAGTAGACAATAGTTATTAATATAAAATATACTTCTAGTTCTTGGGCAGGTTATCGAAAAATTGTTTTGCTTCGTCACCACAGAATCGTTTTAAATCTTGTAGGTGTTTAAATTTTTTAGCCGTGATAGGTATCAAACCTAAAAATAATTTTGTTGTTTAAAAAAAATAGTATTTCAAGACATAAGTATTTTTTATACCTGAATAAGAATACGGAGGAAGTACAAATTCATTTTGCAATAGCACAGGTCCCTTTCGCTTAGTCTCTTTTCTCTTCACTATTGCTGACTCCCATGCTCCATTATAGGACTCCCGGTAATATATTAGTCTATGATGTTCTTGATGTATTTCTAATTCTCGAATAGGACGGGAACGGAAAGGACATTTCTTCAAATAATCCGTTTTGGTATTTCATCAAATGGTGATGGTTTTGCATGAGCACTTCTAAAAATTTCTACCCAATCTGAAGGAATCTCGGCTCTTTGGTGGGAGTTTATTAAGCCCATATTTTTGTCCGGTTCCATGTAGGAATGCCCACGAATAGGAAAAGTAACTTTAACATAATCAAGTCTATGTGTATTGTGGACAATATAATGCAAAAAACGAAACATCGTGTAATTTTTATTTTGCCCTCCACACGAGTCGCAGAATATTTCAAGCGATCTTACTTGTAAATCGAGAAAATTCCATAAAAAGTCATTCAGCATTGAGCATACATCGTCGCTTCCCTTTTTGCCAAGTGTTTCCGGGTAAATGTAAAACACACTTTTTGCTGTAGATAGAATGTGGCTATTAAAGGCATAGACGTTCAGCTGGCTCTTATAGTAAACATCGTTTGTTGTTATGTTTGGGACACTGAGATTTTGTCCAAAATCGAGACAAATAGCTTCGTGAGTCACAGAGGTTCGACTTCGTTTCTTCGCAGCCCTTTTTCTACTGTAAAATACCTCAGCCTTTATTTTGTGTACATCATTTTGTATTGTAATATGGCGTATTTCCTTTTGAAAGCGTACTTTTTGAGCAATATCCATACTCTTTAAAACATCAGACTGAAGAGATTTTATTTTTATAAGAAACTCATCGCAAGAAATACATGTATCGGTCCTGGGATATCCAAAGGCCTTGTTGAATTTTGTATTAAATACTGTTCTGTACGACTCGTAAGATACTTTCATAGAAGGGTTCAACTCGCAAAACATTTTGAACATCTTTTTTATGTTTAAGTCTTCAGGTAAGAATAATTTTCTACTATCCTTCACACTGTAGTGGCTTTTCCTGCCTTTAAATGACTTTATATGTTCCTATATTGCTGCAAGAACGTGAGCATCAAATTTCCTAGGATGGTTTTTATTTTCTCCTCTTTTATCTTTTGGAGCGACTCCAGTCATTTTTAGTGACTTTTGTAGTATCTCTAATTTGTTTTTCTTTATTCCATGAACAGACATAAAAGCTTGTCTACAAATATTTATTTCCTGTAAGCTATTATCAGTTCTAAAACGTACCCTGTAAGAATATGCACTACTTCTCAAATTTGCTACGTCTTCATCTTTCCTAGGCCTTCTTCGGCGAATGAGGAGTACCGTAATCAATCCACATAAGTAGGAGTTCTGCTCATTAATAGAAGTCATTGCGTTAAAATTCTTGAGAATGGTTTTTCTTGCTTCTTCAGGTACATTTTGAAAACATTGTTTACGACAGTTACAGTTTGCACCTACCTCGTGGCTCTGCAGTCTAATCTTTTTCATGACATCTCTCATTCTGCCGTACTTTTTCCTCTTTTTTGATTCATTCTGTCTAGATACTACTTCACTCTCATTTCCGCTACTATTGTTCTCAGTATTCATTGTTATTTACTTTTAAATTACTTGAAAAACATTGAAAACACTAGCTACTCCGACTAATCTAACTCTAAACTGCGCGTATTAGATCGACATCTATCAGCTGTTTATTTGGACTTTACCCTTTTAGGACCTGACTGATGTGGACTTGCCCCCTATTGGCGGTGTATGCGTAAATAAGAATTAGAATTTCACAGACACTAAGCGCTTTTAGGACGTGTTCAAGTCGCTGACCACTTCTACGTTAAAATTGCTACAAGATGGCACCACTAGATCTATTTGTGTAAAATTACGACTTGCCCCCTTTTGGACCTGTACCCTTCAAATAGCCTAAGGAATAGCCGTACAACCGTTATAACTTCCAGAAATGACAAAAACATATTTGGAGTCACATTCATATCCACACGTATATTTTTGAGCATTCCGTTAATCAATAAAACTGAAAATATGGTGCCGGCCTGCGACCCAATTAATAAAAGCCGATGGCCATTCAATAAATATCTTTTATGTAGCAGCTCTCCGTAAATATTTGTTGGAATGCTCCGAAATGCCATAAGAATAAATTCCTTTAACGAGACGGTTACTTTGGCAGAGAAGATGGGCCGAATATATTTGCTACGTATGGCTTAAGGGTTAATTGTTTCGATAACTGAAGATAGAGTTGATTGATTATGCGTTCCCAAGGCAGAGACTATTACGCATTAAATAAATGCAATATCCAAATTGTAAGTTGCACAAAATAAGGTTACGAAAACGAATCGAAATTGTTAAAGGCATATGTCACCAAAGATTCATGCTAAAAAGTTAGTAAAACTAAAAGAGGTCAATTATGTTTGCGGTATGGTCAGATTTAGCTAAAAATCTGTCGGACTACCCTGATACATTCTTTTAGTCCTCTCAGGTCATGCTTCTCAGGAGGTGATTTATGTTTCCTTGTGGTATGTGATCCAAGCTAGCTGTACTTGTTTCCATTCCAAGCATTTGTTGAGGATGGGGTAAAGAGTCTTCTTCTGATTGTGTTACACCCACGTTCAATGGGCGAAAGGACGCGAGAGATCAAGAATGAAGCATTATTGAGGTAGCCTATTGTAGCTATAGCAATATGGAGACGGACACTATTTTCTTTGAGCATAGGGTTCCCCAGAGATTAGAGAAATGACAAAACTTGGGGTTCTAGTACTTACTATACCGTTGTGTCGTCACATCTCCTCTCGTGGAAACTCGAGGCCCCAGCACCAACTTACATTATGCCTTTATCCCCGTGACCGGACTCGTGACCGTCCATCATGCATTCCTAAACGAAATAACGACTTATCACTAAAATTTACTAAGACGATGTTTAGACTCCTTTACCTTATCCTCCAGCGACGCTAGCAGCACTAAGTACAGGAAGCATGTTCCGACGACTCGCAAGGGCTTAGACTACCGAAAAGCTGACACAAGCAGCACAATAGATTTTTTGGGTCGCTGATTTCAAATCTGAAGTTAGTTTGCCTCTATGAGGGCAGTTTAAGGTCGCTTCAAGGACATTTTCGAAATAAGCAGAACAGTTGAGCCCAATCGCGTATGAGGGCATTTGAAGGTAATTTCAAGGTCACCCCAACAACAAATTCACAATAAGTCATATAGGTTTTCGCGGTCGTTGAGTCCAAATCAGAGATCACTGCAAGGAAGGCATTGAAAGGGTATTTTAAGGACACTCAAAGGATACATTCAAAAAAGTCGAATAACCGTTTCCGGCTTTTTTTACACTCCGCAAAAACTGATACTTGGTATTTCCTGGCAGTACTTCTAGGTTCAGAACCGTAATTTATTCCTAATTGGGGCAAAGAATGGAACCTTATTAAAAGCCTCTCTGAATAATGTAAAAAAGTGGAGCTAACAATAGTAATCCTTTAATTCACGGGCTACTTGAAAACAACAATTATAGCACATTTCTATTACATCAAACGAAAGTTCATACTTTCTTCATTGTGATTCATATTCGGGTGTTCAAGTACTTTCAACACACAGCTCAAAGGATGATGCACAAGCTCTCCAATTTTGCCGTTAAAACGAGTTTTTAATAACTAACTACAAACACAAAGAAAGTGTAAGCACAGTTGTAATTCCATGGCCAATTTGTTTTTTAAGTTACTAACTTTAGATAATATTTTTCATTTCTTTTCGATGCATTGTTTTTTTTTAAATTCTTTCCAGATCTTCGCATAGATGCGACTGGACAAATGTAGCATCAGGGACGCGTTATTAGAGACACCCAGCAATATCGCAAAGCTTAATTATGGCTTCCTCTTGTGTTTCTATGTGTATAAACGTCCCTTCAAATCAAATTATTTTTACTAGATGTTCTATTTATTTGTCGCTGAGTGTAATTTTCTTGTTAATACGTACAAACGCCCACCGACAGGCCTGTTGCCTCAGGCCAAAACATGGACAATCAGTCTAACAGATATGGTGATATCAATGTACTTCTTTCGCCACTATCTTATAAATGTTTTATATACCTACGGCTCTGTTTGTATAATTTTCACCTAAGCTAGAAATAATATGTTATATATCCTTTCCAGTGTTTACTGATTGAGTTATCGATATTCTACAGGGTATTGTGTGGATCTCACCCGGTGATCCTTCCTTGTCCTGATCATAGGCATGAAACTAGTGAACCTGAAACAAAACAAAAAACAAAAATAAGTAGCAGATACTTAACTCTATTGTAGTTACATTATTTTAAGTGTCAAGTCAAAAATGAAAATCGTAGCATGTTAACTGTGATGGAAATGTCAGGCGCGCAACAAGTAGGGAAAAAAATTTTTTTTATACTCCAACTACCACGAATGCCTAAGGCCTAAACACCCATTGGGTATCGTGGGGCTATAGGGGGATACATGGGAAAGGGGGAACGCCACACGGTCTCTGGCGAGGGAGCACGTGTGCATGCCACATGCACAAATTCTGGCTCCGCCTACGAGATCCGCCGGGTGGTACCTCCGCGTTCGACAGTCAGAGACCATCTACCACCTACGGACAATCACAACCTCCATAGCCAAGAGAAAAGTTTCACTTGGTACGGGATTCGAACCCGCACAGCGCTCGGCGACTGATCAGGAGACCGAAGAGTCTACTACTGCGGCCACCGCTGCTGCCTAAATATCGCCATTTTGCAATTTTTCGGTACCTATTTGGACAGATGGTTTGATTCGCAATTGCGGATTTGGTCCCGAAAATCCGCCGACTCCGCTGCCTGGGAGTACCTCTGAAGTACAATTTAGTAGCAAATAATAAGTTATCAGTAGGTATAGAAAGAATCTGGCATCTTGACGGGGGGTCTAACAACCCTTCCAACAACTCTAAGCAGGCACTTGATCCAAAGCTTGGCAAACAACAAAATATTGTGAAGTGACGCATAGACCGTTGCTGTTCACCTATAACACATGTAATATCGGATGCGAACATCGTAGTTGGATATTAATGGCTACAAAACGATGTATCGTACGGCTCTGTTTGTATAATTTTCACCTAAGCTAGAAATAATATGTTATATATCCTTTCCAGTGTTTACTGATTGAGTTATCGATATTCTACAGGGTATTGTGTGGATCTCACCCGGTGATCCTTCCTTGTCCTGATCATAGGCATGAAACTAGTGAACCTGAAACAAAACAAAAAACAAAAATAAGTAGCAGATACTTAACTCTATTGTAGTTACATTATTTTAAGTGTCAAGTCAAAAATGAAAATCGTAGCATGTTAACTGTGATGGAAATGTCAGGCGCGCAACAAGTAGGGAAAAAAATTTTTTTTATACTCCAACTACCACGAATGCCTAAGGCCTAAACACCCATTGGGTATCGTGGGGCTATAGGGGGATACATGGGAAAGGGGGAACGCCACACGGTCTCTGGCGAGGGAGCACGTGTGCATGCCACATGCACAAATTCTGGCTCCGCCTACGAGATCCGCCGGGTGGTACCTCCGCGTTCGACAGTCAGAGACCATCTACCACCTACGGACAATCACAACCTCCATAGCCAAGAGAAAAGTTTCACTTGGTACGGGATTCGAACCCGCACAGCGCTCGGCGACTGATCAGGAGACCGAAGAGTCTACTACTGCGGCCACCGCTGCTGCCTAAATATCGCCATTTTGCAATTTTTCGGTACCTATTTGGACAGATGGTTTGATTCGCAATTGCGGATTTGGTCCCGAAAATCCGCCGACTCCGCTGCCTGGGAGTACCTCTGAAGTACAATTTAGTAGCAAATAATAAGTTATCAGTAGGTATAGAAAGAATCTGGCATCTTGACGGGGGGTCTAACAACCCTTCCAACAACTCTAAGCAGGCACTTGATCCAAAGCTTGGCAAACAACAAAATATTGTGAAGTGACGCATAGACCGTTGCTGTTCACCTATAACACATGTAATATCGGATGCGAACATCGTAGTTGGATATTAATGGCTACAAAACGATGTATCGTGGGTATATCTTCGCGTACCCAAAGCCAATTTACAAGGTAATACGTTAAAGACATCAAAACGTTATAGTTAAGTATCGAGGCAACGGAAATACTTATAGAATATGCAAATTAACAGAATATATCCACGAAATCGACTAATAACATTCACAGGAATGAGTTGGAACAAAATAAAAATCTCATAATGCGGCTTCAAAGGATGTGTTTTGAACAATTCCGAGTACATAACAGCCATAAATGTGTCTCATATGGCTTCGGTGCGGACTTTATTGACCATGCGGTTTTGTACAAACAAATGATCTGAATCATTTTATTTTTCGCATATTCAATAATCTCTTATTTGTTGCTAATGAGACAGCCTAGATCAAATTCCATGTTCATTCAGTCGAGTGTTGGCTATAGGTGAACTATAGGTTCTAAACAATAAGTGAAGGCTTTTTCTTGTTTCTTAAAACATCAATAAGACAAATGGGTGTGGTTTCAATGGAGTGCAGAGTGCTTTCTATGGAGGAGCAAATCGTTAATAATAGACA